ATTTGATATGCTATTTTATAAAACAAAATCGTATTAAGACAGAGATGTACTGTTTCCTTTAATTTTGTTCTTAGAAATTAAATACTATTTGACCCCAGAGTTGGAAATACTGTCATTGAAAAATACAGATTTGATTATTGATACTTAAGGAAACAAAAATGTGTTATTTTTGATGTTCTATTAATTTCAGGAATAGAAGCAAATACTTGACAGCTTTCCTCAGGCTGAGCAGGGTGGCAACCAAGGACTCAAATGAAGTAAAGTAAATCCTGAGACTGTTTTCCAAAAGACACATAACTTCTGAGATTTTTCTCTTGAATGTGATCTCTTCCAGCAGTTTTAGTTTTTATTATGGGTGTGAGAATGGCAAAATTAAAACTGGTTTGGATAATCTAAACGTAACACCCTTTCTCACATTCAAAATCTCCAACCCCAAGTCTCCTTAGACTAGAAAAATAACAATACCAGCATCACCTATCCCTACCTCTATGGAAAAGCTGCTCCTCTGGTTACTGGCTATAATTATCCTCCTGATCTGTTAATTTTAGAAAGGTTAATTGTTCACCTAAAAATAAAACTTACCTTCTGCAAGGCGTATCAAGCTCTCCAGCAAGCGGATGGTGGTTCGGGCGGCGTTCCTGCAGTCACTCTGACGCTGCATCTGATAGTAGCGGACCAGGACCAGGTTGCTCTCATCAGACAGTTTTGGCTGGATACTTTTTATAAGGCAGAAGTAAGTCTTCATCTTTTCCATGCTCCAGAGCTTTTCTGATTTGCTTGGGCAGCCTGCATTACAATGGCCTAGTCAGTAATTCTGTAACAACAGACATGCTCTTGCCTAAGAATTCATATGAACTAAATAGGCAGGTGACTAGAAAACACACGTTACTGTATTTTTGGGGCTTAATGGGTTATCTGTACACTAGTCCTCAAGAATCTGGTCAAATTCCAGTATGGAATTTTATACACCATCCAGTCCCACCCCTATTAAAATCCACAGTAATGCCTCCAGTAATTCCAGCCCAACCGCTGTCAGACTCGCTGCCCACCAGCCGGTACAGCCAGCACTGAGTGCTCTAGTATTCCTTAAAATGTAAAATCCTATATGAATTGTATGGACCTCCTCTGACTGTTTTACCTGCTTTGTAGAAGCCAAAAACTACCTGCTATATTCTGAACATTTTTTGCATGGAAACATTTGGGGAAGGGAAGAAAGCTAGCTGAAGAAGCTTCCTGTAACCACTTCTTCCCCAACGGAGATCAAAGCCATGGATAGTGAAGGGGCTAGTTAAAATCAGATCATGCTGCCTCCCCTCATCCCAGAGCACGGAGGTCCATGTAGGAAACACTGCTGATCATTCCTTGAGCCTTGAAGCACACACAGCTCAGACTGGTTCTGTCTGAATTAAGTTTGCCATGAACCGCGGGTACGATTGCGTGGTGTGCAGGATCTGCCCATCAAGCAGTGAAAAGGTGGAAGCCACCCACTTACTGAGCAGTCTGGGCTGAAATCTCTTGTAAATGATCACAGAGGAAAGGTAGAGTGGTGTCAGCTCACCCCTACTAATTAATCAGTGATCTCTATCTTATTCAAGCTTGAAAAACAACCATACCACAGAAATGAACATAGCAAAAATGTAAACACAGATTAATACGAAAGACTCAAGAATAATAAACTAAACTGAAAGGCGGGGAAATTAAAAACAAAACAACACAAAACCCAAAACAAAACCACAAACCCCTCCACCTTATAATTTTAAAGCCTACTCTTACCTTTGTTTTGCAAGATGAAGGATGAAATGATGCGGTCCCATTCCTCGTTCTTTGTATCTAACAATACTAAGACCAGGTCAAATCTGCTCAACAGGGGACTGCCAAGAGCTATATTGACAGAGACAGACTCATTCGGGTCATAATGGCCTTTTGGGTTTGTTGCTGCCAGGATAGTTGTCCTTGTATTAAGCTTGCACACCAAGCTAGAAAAAAGTATGGTGAACATTACAGTTGAATTAAATTGGGTAGGGGAAAGCACTCCAAAGTGTTAAAAATTATAATGTTTTTATGGTAAAAGAGCACGTTACCCTGAAAGACTGTAAGTGCTAAACAATATACACAACTATTATATTAACATTTACTGTATATACAGCACTTCTCAGACAGAGAATAGCAACCACACAGAAAGGCAGTCATCAGGATACCAAAAGTAACCAAGTGATATTGCCATAAGTAATTCCCATGAGCAAAATAAAATGTAATACAAATATTTTATTCCTGTGTTTAAACGTTATGAATATGAACCTGACCAAACAGCAACTGTTTTTTTCCAAGGGAAAG